AAATAATATAAAGGGTTGAACATAATTAAAAACTAAACGGAACGATTCCGTATAGAATATCCGATTGGCACGGCAAAAAAATTAGATTTATAGAGAATCTCTTTAGAATGGGTTTCGGATTTTGCTGTTTTACTATTTTTTTTTGTATATTCAAAAAATTTAATGCAGTCAAATTTGAAATATTTAAAATATTTCATATTTAAATAGTTTAATAAAGATTCTTTTAGAAAATATTAAAAACCATAGACCATCAAAAAGTTAAAAGAATTTTTGTAAATTGTTGATTTTTGATAAAATTGTCCTTAACCTTTTTTTTTTTTTTCCAAAACAGTTTTTTATTTTTCATATAGGTTTTTTTCAAGTTTTAAATAAAACTATGCATGTATATGGGAAAATGAAAGGAAGAGTTTAGAATTTGCTTTCGGATTAACTTTTGGATTTCTAGAATTTTTTATTTTTTGTGTGTTTTATATAAAAAGTTTACATATTTATAAATATTTTTCCTTTAAATTTTATGAAATTTGTTTATATATTTACAAGTTTTTCTAAGAATTAGATATTTTACATTATTTTAGACCCAAAATCTAAAAAGTTTATTTTCAAATAAAGTTGATTATTTACGTTTTTTTTTTACAGAGTAGTATGCTGTACAAACCCAACTTTTTTTTGTAAATATTTCAAGAGTATAGGTTAAATAATTGCTTTTATTAAACTAAGAAGATTAAATTATTAAAATTTTATGCTATGTTAAACATAACCATACACATACATACTATAATAAATAAAAATTTTATTAAATAATTTTTAATTTAATTGAAATGAAAAATAATATTGAGCATGCAAGATGAAAAAGTTCTTAATTAACAATTTAAAGAATCTCAATTTCATGATGTATGAATGTAAATAGTCGAGGCATACCAACAAAAAAATAATTGAGTTAAAATCTAAATTTAGACGATAGGTTTTAATCTGATACTTTTTAATGTTATTGCTTTCGTAACATTGTACACAAACCTGGTTTTAATGATTCTCTTCTTGCAATGAACGATATTTAATATTAAAACTGCAATATAGAATTTTTTTTTAATAAATGTATTGTTTTGAAAAATGGGTCTAAAAGTGACTGTGTAATCGACACCAAGAAATGTTGCATTCCAAGGAATTTATGGCCCTCTCCTCTTTTAAGGGAGCAGGAAAGAGATCTGATCTCATTGAGTCGACCAGGCTTAAGGCTGGTGTTTGGGGTTCTCACTGAATATTATCGCACCATGGCTTATCTGAAAAGAATTGGTAAAATGAGGAGTAAGCTTTGTCGTCTGTGTTTGAACACGGTAGAGCATCTGCTATGAGAGTTAAGTGCTTTGAGTGAGACTTTATCACCCCTTCCAAGGCTCCAAGGACGTATTTCTGAGATTTTTCAGGAGTCTAGGAATAGTGGTCATGTAACTGGATCGCGAATTACAAAGTGTCATATATGGGCCGAGTTGAGAAGGGTCATAAGGGTCCCCCCTTTGAAAAAAAATTGTTTTGTAAATCTTTTAATTTTAAAACTAAAACAAAGTTTTGAATTTAAAATCATATTAAATTTTCATATTAAATTAGATAACTAACTCAAAAACATTTTATGCAATTTTTCGCAATATTTTTGTATAATTCTTGCCTGGATTTATTTAAGAATCTTATACGATTTTTTTTTTTCTTTTAACTAAATTATATGATTTACGTCCTGGTTGGAAAGTCTTGACATAAAAATGAAATTAAAGGATAATATGCATTTATTAATAATAATCTTAAACAAATATGTATACATACATAGACACATACAGCAGTATATATTTGATTTCATATCAGTTGACCCAGAAATATGAAGAAAATTTTGTAAAGAAACTAAATGGGGAAAAAAAAAAAATTGTTGAAGAAAGTAAAATTTTATGTAAGAATTTTACGCTTAACCAACCGAGAATTTATGTAGTAGTAAATTTTCATGGCCTTGAAAAAAAAAAGAATTCTTCTTCATCCCATAAAATATTCGTTTTCTCTTAAAGTATATATTTATGACTACTATATGTGTATTCATATATTCAAAAGGAACTGTAAAAAATAAGATATAGCTAGAAATATGGCTAGAAATTTTATAAAATAAAGTAAACTTTCTAAAAATGCCTTTTGTCTAAATCACATAGTATCTATATATACATGCGGGTTTACAGATTACAGAAGTTGTGGTATGAATTGTGGAAAAAAATTATTTTGCAAACAAAATATACATGGTATATATGTACATATGTTGAGTTTTATGAATAAAGTTAAGAGTTGAATAAAGAGAGTATATACCACAGTGTCCGTTTATTTATAAAAAAATAATATCAATAAATGTAGATAAAACCGAAAAAAAGGCTTTCATCTAATAATATTTGAATAATATGTAAATATATGTATATACATATTTACATACCATAAATATATAGAAAATTATATAGAATAAATAATTTATCGTTTGGCCTACGTATATTATACAATATATAATTTAAATGTATATAAGAAACTATTCACGTCTCGACTCCGTTTTGCTACTTTCTATATTATTTTATTCAATATTTTCATTGTGTACATAGAATAAATATTTAAGTATAAACTGTTTACTCAACCATATATATCATATATAACATGATTCAATAAAATATTTATACATATGTAGAGGGTGATTTCGAAAATATTTTCATCTTTGTTTAGCTTGAATTAAAGTTGAAGTAATTCGAAAAAGTTCTGTAGAAACAATATTGAAATTTTGAAAAATTTGGTGCATATATTCTTTCAAAATTCTACATATAGTGTTTACCATTTTGAAAATATTTTAGATAAAAAACTAGATATATAATTTGTAGAAGAAATAACTTTCTTTTCTTTAATTTACGAGATCTTGGGTATTTTTAAATTGCTATTCAATCGATATTAAAAATTCTGTATACTTAATTTTTAAATCACTCTCTATCATATTATATACGATGTGTTTCATATAGTAAATAAAACATCATATATTACTAAATATTGTATCCTTTTCAAGAGGATATTATAAAATTAATATATGTATACATACATATTTACTTATAAAAATGTAATTATGATAAAATTCATTAATTGATCGATAATTCGTATAAAGATATAATAGAATTTGTGTCATACATGCATACATTAGTAAGTATGTATATAATATGAGTTGAGTCTTCAACAAAAAAAAAAAAAAAAAATTTAATTTAACACTTAAATGAATATTTAATTAGCAACATAGGCATACGATTTATAAATTAATGTGTAAGTTCGTATGAATAAAAATAAATTATATTCTATAGAGATTATATACTGCAATATTACACTTACATATGTATAATATAAAATACGAAATATTGTCAAAATGAATGAAAAGGCTAATTATAGTTTACAAAGATGAAAATGAAAGCAAAAACTTTTGATATTCTTAATTTATTTTTACAATCATTGTCAATTAATCGATTCAATTATCAAAACACAAATCAAATTTATTAAGAGGATTTGAAGGATTTTGAATATTAAAAATGAAAATTTGGGGGGCAGTTTCGTATTTCGTATTATGGAATTTTTAACATCGACTCTCCTGCAGCAAATTCCTATAATAATGAGTTGAGAAAACTATATGTAAATGAATTAAACAGCTAGAAATAGGCGATTTATAATTTTCTTATCCATTTAGAAAAAATTATGCTTTAAGAAAAACTTAAATAATATCGCTCAGATTACAATAAATCAAATAAATATTTTAGTATGTTAATTTATAATTTTAGACAGACAGACACATATATGATTTTTATGATAAATTTTAAATTAATTGTCGTAGCAGAAAAAGTAAAAAACATGCTAAAATTAGTATTGTATTTGTTTGTTTGTTTGTTTTTTTTTTCTATTTTGACTTGTAATTCATTATTATTCGGCTTAAGTTATTAATTTACAAGGATAAAATAATATTAAATAAAAAAGTTATTTACGCTATTAATCAGTTAATTAAATTCTAATCCTGTTAAATACGATGGGCATTAAAATTAATAGTATTAAAGTTGAATAACTAATTTTTATTTTGTATTTTCAAATCAAATATTTATTGGTTTTATTGATAATATTTTATTATATTTAATTCTATTTCAATATTATGAGATAATTTTGTTAAAATTGGATTTTATTTTTCAAAGAAAATGATAATTTTATCTTGGAAAATTATTTTAAGTTCTTAACATATTATTTAATTTAATTGAAGAAAAGTAAACTTACAGTTTATACTCCGAAGACAGGTTATTGTTGTTTTTTTAAAGTATGCGTTATATGAGAACTCAATTTGAGTAACATAAATTGGAATGATATCCTATATTTAAAGATTTAAACACTATTTTATTATAAAAGTTATTAGAATTTTTGATATATGTATTAGTATGCTATTAGATACTATATAAGCTAGAACATATAACATATTCCAGTAGTTGTGGTTTGTTTTTGGTTGCTACATTTCAATTTGGTTGCTATAAACATTTGTCTTTTGGATTATGGATTTTTGAAATGAATCCCTTTTTAAACATTTTCCAAATATTCATACTTTTTGTTTACCGTGTTTCAATTGCCAAGTATAACACCGACAACAAGAAATACAAAAGCGTAATAAAAATTAATATATTTTGATCCTCTTAAAAGCTATTCAGCATATACTTGTTATAAAAATGGGAAAAAAAATGGCAAAAAGACAACATTTCTCGTTTTGCTCTTTTTTTTTTTTTCAAAAAAACAAAGCTAATAAAAATGTAAAACAGAAAAAAAAAACGGAAAAAATTATTTCAAAGTGAAAGTTGTCTTTTTACTTTTCTTTTTTCTAACATAATCTAAAGAATTAAAAAAAATGGTTTTGCTCATGATTTTTTAAGTAGCACATAGAGTAGTTACAAAATATAACTAAAACATTTTTTTTTATCTTTCATTTACAGCGTCATACTTACCATTTCAACTTTTTCTACTTAAAATCCAGCAACGTTAAATGAAAAACATCTAGAAGACAAAACAAAAGGAACCCAAAAACAGAAAAAAAAAATTTTTTTTTTTAAATCTTCTTTTTGTACCTACTACATTCCTACATATTCTGTTTTTGTCGCCCCTAAACGATAGGCAAAGTTAAGTAACAAACAAAAAACAAAATATCAACCTTAAACATCCAACTTTAGAAATTTATAACAAAAAAAAGATTAAAAAACCAAATCGTAATACCAATATCGGAATCATAATTAAATTCTACGTCGAAGAGTGCGGAGAAAAACTGACAATTGAAAAGTAAGAGAATATTAAAGTGAAGGACAGGAAAGAAATAATTACAATATTTTATATACAAAAAAAAAAAAAGACAAAAAAGAAAGAAAACCTGTGCGAAAAATTATTGAATTACAGTTGTAAAGTCCACTTTTGTGTGAGTCATTCGTGTATAATAATAAAGATAAAAATACAACAATAGGAAAATAAATAAATAAAAGAAAAAGTAAAAGAACAAACAAAGAGACCAAGAAACCAAGAAAAGAAAAAATAAAAAAAAATGGCTGATGAAAAAAAAGAAAATAAAGAGAATGCGGCGCCTGCTGCCGCCGCCGAAGAAGATGGCTTAGGTGCTGATGAAAAAGCTGAAAATAAAATGAAAAATCGTTTAAGAAAAGGTGCTCTCAAAAAGAAGAATGTGTTCAATGTTAAAGGTCATCTTTTTATACCAAGATTTTTCAAACAACCAACATTTTGTTCACATTGCAAGGATTTCATATGGTAAGTAATTTTTTTTTTTTTTTGGTTTTCCTTTTTGTTGTTCTGGTATTTTTATTCTATATTTTATATTATGTATAAATTTTTATGTGTATTTTATTTTTAAATATTGTTGCCAAAGTTATGCAACGATTTAAAAATGAAATGTACGTAAAGTGCTATTTTTTTGATACATGAAGAGATTATGAGTTTTGTAATAATGAAAATTTAAGATTTTAAACAGAATTTTTAGAAGAATTAAATTGAATGTAATGAGTTTTGGCAACTTTAAGTAAAACGTGGTCAAACTACGAAAGTAGATAGACGAGACCATTGTAAGATACTTTTTGGTCAGATAAATCCGTTGTGATACCGCTGGATTTCTATATTATCATCCTTTCATGAATCAGTTCACGCTTTTTATAGACCGGTTTAGATTCCTGGCATTTGAATTCGCCAGATATGTAACTGACAAAACAAATCCAATTCAAAGAACCTCTACATTTTGCATGTCAATTAAAAATGATTATTTATCGACTGTGAGCACTAACTATCCCGTCCTATTCTTCAGTATCTCAGATATTGAAATTAATCTAAAATTTTGAAACTAAAACAAGCATTTGGAATGTATTCATACCAATGCCAGACTTAAATTTTATGAATTGTAATAGTTTTAGTAATGTTTTTTGAATACTTGATATTACAAATTTATTAAAATAATATTATCGGGCAGTGTGTACTTAATTTTTATATTGTATATATTTTAATAGTAAGAATTTACGTACTACCTGCTACTTTGTGTTGGGATGGGAAACATAATTAAAATACTATAGTTCAGAATTAAACTAGTACAATTATTATAGCATTCTATAAATATGCTATTACTAAAGCACGTGCACATTACCTGATACGTTATATCCTTATTTCGAAATTAAATAGATTTCATTTTAATAAAAAAAAAATATAATTAATTTTCTATTATAGTGATAGATATTTTAAGTGACCTTAAAAGTAAATTTTGGTCTAGACATTTAATGAGTTATTGTCGATATTTGTTGATCCAATAAAATAAAGTCATATAAAATCTAATAAAATATTTAAATTAATTTTTGTATATGATTGCTCTTTAATTTTACATAATTTCATATGATTTTAGAAAATCATAATGATTATTTCAATTGTAATCGTTACCCTTACTATTAATAACTTTAATATCTCTCACTCATGTAAATGGAAAAGATTTCAAAGTGACAGATTTTTAGATGAGCCCTTAAAGGCTTAAAAGATGTCAAGTTAGGTACAAATTTTCGACCCATTATTGTAAGGCCTGTTGATATGCGAACTGGCACCGGGTAGCTTATTCATTCCCCAATTCAGATATTTACCTAACATCGAGGTGAATATCTTTTTTTGAGGCGTTATAGATATATTTTATCATTGAACCTCGTGAAAATCGAAACGTTATTGGAAGGTGGTTTTAAAAACTCTAATTACTGAAATATATATATATATTTGTTGTATAGAAATTTATTTTAAGCCGGAACAGCATAAATTTCTTTTTTAGGATGCTTATTTTAATTTTAACTGCTTTTAATATCTATAAAAAAAAAATTTATCCCTGCAGTGAAGGTTCTTTAGATAAAATTGATATCATCGCGATATCATCGTAATTTTATTTTTTTTTTCATTTTAAAAGTTTTACAACCTTATTCTATATACGCTTTCGTATAAATTTTATATTTTTTTTAGTTTTATTTATTTTTTCTTTTTTTATTTTTAATATATTCTGATGGATGATTTTGAATTATTTATTTGTAATAAAAATAAAAAACAACAAAAGAGAAACACAAAATAGAAATGAAAAATGAAATATTCACTGCTTTTACAATAACGTGATTGCATAGATATCCTGTGAATAATGTGAATACAAGAAGAATTTTAATAAAAGGATGAAAGATAATGTTTCCTTTTAAATTAAAGTTCTTGTTATCCCTAATTTTAATTTTAGATGAAATTCTAAGAAATTGAAAAGATGAACTTCAAATTGAGATTTACTTAAGAAAATTTTATTGGGAATGGTTAGATGGTGGAGTAAAAAAAATGATTGTATACCGTGATTGTATTCGTTATTGTGTCCGTAACGATAGAAAGTAAATACTCCAATATTGGTTATTAGATATTATATACTATTCTTCTTATTTAACAATATAAACTGTAAACAGACGAACTAATTTAGAAAACAATCATATTATAAATTAGATTTATTGGAAATTACTTAAGAAAACTAAGAAATAAAAATTTTTATTTTTACATTTGAATGTAAATTTTATGATGATTGAATTTTTTTTTTTTCTGGAGAAAAATATACATAATACATATATTTTCTAATGTAGTTTAAGGAGCAAAAAATTCAAGTAAGACAGATAAATAAATTGAATAATTCCTTGTTTTTCTTTTATCTATAAGTATGTCCAATTGGTAATGCAATTTCTTGGGTAAATATGGATCCTGTTTATTTTAATCGTAGAGAGAAACTAATATATTCAATTTTTAAGTTTTTGTTTTGTTATTTTGTTGTTGTATATTGTTAAAGGAGTCCTGGTACCTACGGAAAATATTAAAATTAATAATACGATTGCAGAATTAATTTTTCGTCGATAATTTATGCTCTACTATTGCTAAACAATTGAGCGTAATTAAACATGATCCTTCCTATTATTTATTTAAATAGTTTTTTTGCTTTTTAAGCTTTAAACTATAAAATAAATTTTTATATTTTATAAATTGCCAGTTTCGGTTTAGCTTAATGATTTATAATATTGAGTATTTTTTGTTTTACTTCGTTTTTGGATTCATTTAAGCACAAATTAATTAAAATTAATTGTTGCTAAAGAAACTTTATCTGACCATTGGTGCAGTGGTTATGGCACCGGCCCTTTAAACGAAGGGTCTCGGGTTCAAACCCCGGTCAGGTCACTATGAAAATTATATTCAATATTATATAACTTAATATGCAAATACTAATAAAATATTATACAAGTAATTTTCAAATGTTCATAATATTCGATACTAAAGACTAAGAAAAATAAACAGTAAATATTAATAAACTGAAATATTTAATATAAATAAAAACTACGGTAGACTAGTCACCTACCTAGCTAACTCTCTATGACTATAGAAGCTAAAGCATCATAGATATCATGCACTAGCCCTATACTCCTCCTAGGAGTGAAGAAAAAAAAAAAAAAAAAGAAACATTAAGATATTGTATATTAGTTCTCGAACTAAGTATATTACGATTAAGGAAATATAAAATTTAAGCATACTATCATTCGAATGCCACGAATTTCACGATATCAGGTTATTTTCAAATATAATTGATTAAATATCTAATTGAGCCAGTAGTAGACTTCTTTTTGCAGGCTGTTCTACTTTCATTTCATGCTTACCTAATAAACTTTTAATTATGTTTTAAATTTTATTAATATTAAATATTTAGTGATAAATTAAATTTAATTTTGTGTTAAATATTTCAATGATCTATACATATTTATGCACATATCCACATATTTTATAATCGTTGATGGATTATGTGTAACATACAATACGAGTAACATACAATCATGCATAAATTCGAAAAGTTATAAAATTTATAATAAATACTAAAACGATTTCGAGGAGAGAAATTTTTTTGTTAATATTTTATTGGTAATATACGTAATATGACACGAAAAGTTAAGAAAGAAAAAGAGTGAATAAGAGTATGAAGAAAAGTCTAAATAAAATTCGAATAATTTTCAGATGTAATAAATTGAATAAATATCGAAAATTAATGATCTGTAACTGTCAATGTTAGACATATTTTATAGCTAAATCATTTCTCTTAATCTCACATATAAAATGTGTATGTGCGTCTGCATATTAATCTAGTATAAAATTTTCTAATGTGTTTATGTGTATTGTATGTACATACATATGTATATACATGAAAAGTAAATTGTATAATAATTTTCTTTTACAATCATTTATTATTTTTCGGAAAAAAATTTGTTTGATGAAAAATATTCCTTTTGTTTTAATTTTTCTAAGAAATTTATGATTGAAAACGTTAACGACATAATTCTTTTTTTGTTCTTACCAATAAATTTAGATTTAATCCCAACTTTTAAGCTACTTTTCTTTAATAAATTTTAATTTTTTTTTAAATTTTACTATATTTAGTTAGTTAGAGAGGAGAGGTGACACCCCCATCGCTGCCGCCCAAAACCAGGCCAGTAGAAGGCATATTGGCATCCCTCCACAACACCCCTCCTTGTTACATCCATTGAAGTTCTTTGAAAAAGTTTAGCAGATTACCCGCAAGCAACTCCTTCAGCTCCTCCGATCCGTCGTATTCCGGGAAAATATTTGATAAGGAAACAACTAGCCTCCTAGTCATCTTTTCCAATAAGCAATATCCTGTCAAAATGCCAAGTGCAATGCTAAGATCTGCCTTGTCTTAATGTAATATCCTCACAGAATACTCTTGTACCAATATTCCTGGATATCTTAGAACTTTCCCATCGCAGAATCTCTGGTTGAAGTCGCAGTGCCTTGGGTACTTCATCTCATGCCAACCTTTACACCCTTTCGAACTTTTTGAGCTCCCGGATTAGCACACCGTAGGCCACCACACCAATATCCCATACGTGAGAATCGGTAATCCCACATCATTCAAACACGACAGCCGGAAAACCATCCCATCCCCATTAGCTGTCCTACGTTCGGTTCTGTGTTGGGAAGATGCACGTCAACCAGCACTCTGAGCCTCTTTTGGCCAAACGTGGTCCAAGCCGCATCAGGTCCATCGGCTCCTTATCAAAATCTTCTTTATTCTGGCCATATCGTTTATACCCCCTTGCGATTCGCAATAAGTCTTTCATGATTTGCTCTGTGCTTTCCTAATAGCACATTTAAGAGCCCTTAATATATCGTCGTAAGCATTCTACTTGGATGAACTGCTGCTCCTTTTTGCGGCATTTTGC